AGCCGAAGGCAGTCGCTTAACCAACTGAGCCACCGAGGCGCCCCAGCCGGAAGCTTTTAAAGTGTCGCAGTAATCCAGGATCTGTGACTCAGTGCTCCTCGCTGGGCTGGAGGAAAGGGCTGAGGCCAGGAGGAGGGGCTAAGGAAGAATATTTCTGGGGACTCGCCCCTCGATGACCTGGAAGGGGCCTCCAAGTGGGAAGGTCTCGGACATCCCCTGGGGGCTGAACCTCCTGGGTTGAGGAGAATTGGCACACTGACCAGTGAGTCCCCAGGACCTGGACTGGGGTGGGGGGAGGGGGGAGAGGTGGGCAGCGCAGGATGGGCTCGTCAGTAGAGTCAAAGCACCTGCAAGCATTCTGAGCCCTGCCAGCTACTGCAGCTTGAAGGTATTTTTTCTGGGCTCTGGCAGAGGCCAAGGAATGACTTTGGGGCCAGGTAGGTCAGTGGGCTGGGCTGGGGGGTGGGGCTTGCTTGGGCTGCTCCGTCCCAGAGGGGGGCTGTCCGAAGCCTGCCCCGTCTACAGCCATGGGGGCGTTGGGCTGGGGGCAGTGAGGCCCCCCTTGGCAGGCAGATGTTGTGGCCCAGTCTTTGTCTGCCTTAATCTGAGCCACCAGGCAGCTCAGGCTGATGAATAATGGAGCCAAGCTCATCTGCAGATGCCTGAATTTGAGCTGGACAAATCAGGGATTAGAGGGTCTCTCGCCCGCCTCTCAGCCCCCCTTGCCTCACTTGGGGCTTGCTCAGCCAGTGTGCAGAAAAGAGGCAAGGAGGAGCCTGGCCGGCTCTGACCATTGGAACCCCGGCCCGAGATTGGCCTGCTTGGGGAGAAAGTGAGTGCCCCATCCCTGGAGCTCGGCAACCAGCAGCTAGGAGGGAATGGCTGCATGAAAGAGGCCTTGTGCCAGATGGCCTTGGAACTTTCTTTGGGCATCAGTCCTATTTTAGAAGCATTTGAACAGGATCACCTAGTCCAGCACCCCCTTTTGAAAAAGGATACACTGAGATCCAAGAAAAGGAAAAAGGAATCCAGGCAAGTCACCCATGAGTTGGTTGCAGAAAAAAGACCACCCCATAGGGTTGTTGTCAGGATTAAATGAGTTGATCTTAGTACAGCCCTCAGAACAATGCCTGGCATGAGGCAAACCCACTCGGTCGAGGCGTTCACTAAGTGGTCCGTGACTGAGAGTTAACTGAGGTTTCCACAACAAGCCTGCAAAGGATGCGCTTCAGTCTCCGTTTTAAAAAATAAATGAGGCTCAGAGAGACCCATGAGCGGCCTGAGGGCAGGTGGACTGCCCCCCGAGTTCATGCCTGTGTGACTCTGGAGTCCTCGCTCATGGCCAGCCCTGTGTTCTTCCAGTGTCCCTGGGTCCCAGTAGCCTGACCCCAGTGGGAGCCTGTGAGGGGGGCCTTGACAGCCCAGGCCAGGGATGGGCAGTGTCATCCAGCCCCCGAGCCCCTATGCTCCCCTCCCTGGGTGGCTGAGCCGATTTCTCTGAAGCCCAATCTCTTCGCGGAATCTAGAAGCTGCCCTCTGTGCTCCTTCTCCCTTGCCTAGGCCCACCTGCTAAGCCCACGGGAGTAGGGACCCGCGGGGCCCTGGGTAGAGGCAGCTGCTCCGCCCCCCAGACGCTGTCAGGCCCCTGAGCCCCCTGCGCCCTTCCCTTGGCAGGCTTTTTGGCACCACAGGCAACTGCGCTGCCTGCAGCAAGCTGATCCCAGCCTTCGAGATGGTGATGCGAGCCCGGGACAACGTCTATCATCTCGACTGCTTCGCTTGCCAGCTCTGCAACCAGAGGTGAGTGCTGCGCCTGTAGCAGACCCCAGCTGACACGTGCTGGGGCAGCGCGCTGTGGGGGTGTCCGTGCAAATGTCCACGGGCTCATAGGGCACGTTGTCTTGAGCATGCATGTGCGTGTGCGTGTTCCGTGTGGCCGGATGTGTGCCCTCCAGCACTGTTGTGTGCGTGTCTGTAGGGCCCAGGTCTGAGCAGTGTGATGGCTCACGCGCACATGAGCTTACTGTGTATGTACATTGTGTCGTGCACGTGTGTGGATTTTTAAACGTACACGGACAAGGCAGGTATGGGTGCGCTGTGTGCATGTGTGTGCATGACGGATGAGTATGAATGCGAACATGCTTAAATGCGCATGTACAAGGGGTCTGTGTGCACGCCCTGTGTCCTTGGGTGTCTGCCATTTGTGTGTGCATGCGTGTACATTTTAGTGAGAAGGTGTTCGTGTGCCTGATGGTAGCAGCTACCCACCCCTGTGATTCTGGTTCCAGCCCAGCCACTTTCTGATCCCTACACAGTGTCCCAGCCCCGCGGGAAGCCCCAGGGACTGAAGGAGCCAGAACCCCTCAGCCCTGTCTGGGGACCTAGCACTGGAAGACAAGCCCTTTTCTCAGGAGCCCCCATGTCAGGAAGGAGCTCATGCAAGTGTTCCCAGAGGATGAGGTCCTGAGGGACCTGCAGGGAACACGGAGGGGGATCGCTGGGGGCTTGGACAGACCCGCCACTAAGAGGGCTCGGTGAAGTTGCAGTGCCACCTGGTGGTTGGATTGGGATCTGCTGGGACTGGGCCCATGACCCTGGGGTCTGGTTGAAGCCCTAGCCACCCTGGGGACATCTTTGGGGAAAGGGCTGAATCCTCCAATACTTTAGAAGGACTGGGGGTGGGGGGTGAGGGTAGCAAAGCAAGGCCTTTTCTGGGTGGGAGGGAAGATGGTGGGACAGGGTCACCTCCTCCTGGAAGGATGCTTCAGGAAACCTACAGATTCTGTTCAAAGGAAGAGTTTCATGGAGGCATCCCCTTAAGTTGGGGAAAGGAACAGGATAGAAAAATCAACCATTTTACCACTTCCTCCTTCCCCATTTCTACCTCTCTCGGTCTTTTTCTCTTTCTTTGTCCTTCTCTCTCTTTCTCCCTCTCTGGGACTGGGGTAGGTTATTCCTACACCTTCCTACCAACCCCACCCCTCCAGGGAAGACCCGACTGTGGGCCAGACTTGTCTGTCTGTCTGCCCTACACCCCAGACTACAGGGCCTGGCTGAGGACTGGGCTGACCCAGGGTGATTGACCAGGTTTGCTATGAGACCTTTGGGGATCCCTTCTGGAAAGTTGAAGGAACAAACTCTCCAGGACCTCAGTTCTCAGATGTCCACCTCCTGGGCTGGGCTGGGGCCTATCTGCAGCCCCCACCATCCACTGGGACCCCTCCATGGCCTCTCTCTCCTGCTTGGATTTTCCAGATTTTGTGTGGGAGACAAATTCTTCCTGAAGAACAACATGATCTTGTGTCAGATGGACTATGAGGAGGGACAGCTCAATGGCACCTTTGAATCCCAGGTTCAGTAATGCCCGGCGCCTGGCCTCCAGGCCCATCTGTCCGTCTGCCCGTCTGCCTGTCTGCCCGTCTGCCCACCTGCCTGGCCGGCCAGCCACTCTCCTGCCGATTAGAACTCCTCCGTCCTCGATGGGAGGGATGGCCCTTCCTCTGCCGCCCGTCTGTGTGTGACCCCTCCTGGGGCCAGGCTGGGCCTGTACAGTCTGTCTTCTGTATATAAATGGGAACATTTATTTTATGAGAAATGTAATGCGATTTTATTACTGGCGTGGATTAAACTTATGAATGTTTCCGGGGAGGTTACTGTGCGTTGATCACCTGACTGACACAGACCTGGGGTCCCTCCCCTCTGCTTGGGAGTGAAACAGGGCCCTCCCTTGGGCCCCTCCAAAGCTGGACATGGAGCAGGGCATGGGACTCCAGTGTGTGCTATTGCTGAGCAGGGCAGGGGAGCTCCAGGTGGGCTTTAGGGGGTAGAAGCTGGAGGGAAGAGGACAAGCCCACGCATCCCATAGCCAGAGGTGGGACTGGGGGTGTCCTCCCCTCCCCTGGCCCCCAAGATAAAGAGAGGCAAGATGAAACCCTCCCTTCCCTGGGTTCCTGTTTGACCTCCCTCCACTGAGGCCACCAGCCAGGAACTCAGCCTTGATCTCCCCCCACAGTAAGACCCCGAATCCTGAGCCTTCTACCATGGGAATACCATTCTCAAAACCCTCTTCCCTTTCAGGGTGATGGACAGCTTTTGCTGTCTCCTCCCTGCAGCTTGGGCCTGCTCTGGGGCCCACCCTTCTGCTCTTCTGGGTGAGCGAGAACAATCCCGTTGGCCTGTATTCAGCCCACGCAGGCTAGAGGCTTTCATTCATTCGTTCAGCAAACCTTAATCCACTCTGTCTCAGCCCCATGCTGCAAGCACCAGACGTGCGGATGAATCATGGATCGGACACAGTCCTTGCCCTTGAGGAGGGAGAAAGCCAGGAAAACGAGTGGAGCCCAGCACAGTGAGGACGAAGCCCGCAGGGAGACCTGGGACGGGCCGGTTGCCTTCCGCGGAGCGGCAGCACTTGGACAACTGTGGAGAGTCAGAGAGCCCGTCCAGTGGACACACGCAGGCAGACAGATCTGCGCGCCGGCCTGCAGGAGACCCGGACACGCGAGCAGACGGGCGGGTAGGCAGAAGTAGGCGGGGCCAGCAACCCGCTGCCGCCCTGGGCGTGGTCCGTGCACCGGGCTCCCCGGGGGCCGCAGGACGGCTGTCTTGCTCTCCGCTGCAGCCGCAGCACCAAGCATAGAGCCTGCACCCGCGAGGGCAACGCTGAGTGGTATGAAAATAGGGACTCGTTGGATCCAAAGGCCGGACGGCGAAGGCTGTATGGACAGGCTCCCCCCACCGTCAGGCCACTTGCTTCTCCTCCTCCGGGGACTGTTCTCAGCCTGGCCTCGGCCCCAGAGCCCAGGGCGGATGGAGCCCGCCCACTGCTTCTAGCTCTGCCTGCTCCTGGATGGGGAACCGCAGGTCACCCTGCCCCAGGCCTGCTCCTCCACTGGGAGTGATGTGGGAGCATGGCTACCTCCCCACATTGTGGTTTTGTGCCCAGTGGTCCAATCCGTGGGCAGGGATCGCTAGGGTCAAGGATCTTGGGGTAAGGGTTCTCATCCGTGGGGCATCCCCCTTCTGTGACAGAGCCACGCCCGCCTGTGTGACAGAGAAGAGGGGCAAAGAGCCAGGCGGCCTGGCCGCAGTGGGGGTTTTGTGTGTGATGTGTCTGATGTGACTGTGGAACTGGGGAGCTGTGTGTGGCCGTGTGAGATGGGGCCTGAGTCGGAGTGCATGAATTTGCAGGCTGGAGTCTGTCGTGAGGAATTTTCTCGCTCAGCTTGGAAAAGTGAATCATTTCCCTGAATGGGTAGCAGGACACTCCCCGCCCCCACCCCACCCCCACACCGTGCCAGACCCTCCCTGGGCCCTCAGGCCAAGGAGGGCTCTGCCCACTCCTAGGCCCCCAACTCCTAACTTCAGAGTTTACTGCAGATGAAGTTGTAACACAAGTTAATTACATGGTTATCGAGAGATAACGGAGACACTCGAATGCAGTTTCTGGGCAATTACAATTGTTTCCAACAGAGTTCCCATATTGCAGCCATGAAATAACATGTCGTTTTGCAGTAATTATGTAATTAACTTGTCTCACCGCTCTAGGTTGCACAACAATTAATTCACTCACAATGAGATAGACTCAACATCAGGCAGCCGGCCTCTGAAAGCCCCCGAGAGCAGAGCCGGCCTTCTAGGAGGACCCCAGCCCCATTCTGCCCACCGTAGACCCTGCCAGGGGGCTTCCTCAGTTCAACATGCGGTGGAATGTGCCAGATCCAGCACCATGGCTCCACTTATGGCTGTGTCATGGTCCCCATCCAGGACGTGGGGCTCATCTGTTTCTCAGGGCAGCCATGAGGCAGAGATCTAAACTGTGAAGTGCTGTTTTTACAAGAGCTGGAGTTACCATCCTGGACATCATGACGTGCTGAGTGGGAGACCCTTCGCCTGGGAAGTCCCGCAGCAGTCCACAGCTGCTCCCAAGAAGAGGCCACACAGGCCTTGCGGACATGCGACTGGTGTGGAACCAAAGGGAAGGCAGGGGGTGGGCAGAGAGGAGGCTGGGCTCTTCCTGTAGCAGGCAGCAGGGCAGGGCTGCTGGGGCTACTTGGGGCCAGGGATTATGCTCCTGGGGAGTGCCCCAGGGGCTCCCAAGAAAAGCCTGATCCCCCTCCCCAGCCACAGTGGCATAGGGGAAACTTGGTTAAGTGCAGGGCATGAATGTCTCTGACCCGGCTCTCCTTGGGGCTGCAGCAGGAGACTTCCTGTCTCCTACAGGGAGATAGGAAGTACCAAGCATGGACAGCTAGAGGCTACAGCAGCCTGAGCCTTAGCCCGGGCCACGTGGGTGGTGGCAGTGTGGACGGACGAACATCATGTGGTGGTTGTGCACGGTCCCCTCTTCCTCCAGCCAGCCCGAGGGACCCCATCTTTCCTCCCTGCTTTCCTTGGTGGCCTGTGTCAGAGACACCCTAACAAGGGGCCTGGCACCCACGGAATATGGTGCCTGCTTATCCCCACTCCTTGGCCGGAAGCTGAACCACATAGTCTGTGTTTGGAAAGAAGTTTGATTCTAATCTTGACAGTGCTGCACGGCCCACCATGAAATCTCTCTTCTCCCAGGCCTCGCCCCAGAAACTGTGCCCCACATCATGAGATGCACAGGACCCACGGCAGAACCCACATGAAATTTCTGCCTAGGAAGTCTGGTCTCTGCGTGGAGACAATTGCTTTCTCCCTTAAAGCTGTCAGTGATCGTCACAGCCTGACTGTCTATGTCTGGCATGGAGTGCTCCCCAGCACCACCCATCTAGGGACGCTGCCACCAAGTGAGGGTAGATTCAGGAAAGATGCTTTGTGCTGCAACTGTGCATGACCTCTAAAACTACAATTGCCTAAAAATGAATGATAAAGATGGACTGCTGTGAAGATCAGTTGGTCCAGAAAAATACTTGGTCAAGCCTGGTTTAATCATGAGAAAATAATCAGATGAAACACACACACACACACACACACACACTACACAGAGCTCAAGAGTGCTAGATAATCAGAAGCCCCTGGACAAGGTAATCCCTGTGCCTGGGGTTCATACTGCCTTGTCTCAACAAGGGTGGGAGTCTCTTGCCCCCCAGATGTAGGGTTGAGGGTATCCCAGATCTCTCAGACTCCCAAGAGTCAAGTAGACTACAAGTCGATTGTTCCTGAGCTCCCTCCTGTTGCTGCCGTATTCGTCACCCAGCAATAGCCCCTCCAGCCTAGCAGCACCTCTGTGTTCTTGCCTGCTCCTGCGGCCACGCTGAGCTCCCTCTGAGGCTCCAGTGGTCTCCAGCACTCACCACCCCTCCCCTCCGGGCTGGGGCTGGTGCTTACGCGAGTTTCACATCACACGTCTTTCTGTGGTTTCTCCTTTTCACACCTGCACCTGCTTCACGGAACAGACGACCTCCCTTGCTGACACTTGCCTCTGGACCCTCTCCAAGGGCTCAGGGCCAGACCTAGGAAGGGGAATGCAGGTGCTGCTCAGCACATCCATCAGGACACGAGGGCAGAGCGAAGGGCGCTTTACTACGCAACTGCCTGCCGTAGCAGGAAAAAGAAACAAGCTGAGGCCAGGTTTCAGGCAGGAAGGAAATCTGCAGCTCAGAGAGAGAAATGAGCTTTTAAAGCCTATTTCCCGTGGAGGAAAACAGACTTGGATTCAAATACTTTGGACTCTCCCAAATGGTTTTTATTCTGGGGCATCAGCCTTTCCCTTTATGAACCATAGTGAAAAATCCTCTGAGCTGTGGGTTCCCCCAAATACCAATTTCTTCCTCTCTAGACCCCCCTCCCCCACCGCAGGCTGCACACCTATGCAAGCCTTCCCATGGGTGCCGCCTGGACCTCAATTCTCTGAGCTTAGATGCTCCCAGCCCAACCCAACAGCCCAGTCTCCACACTATCCCACTGGCACTGGGTTTGGCAGACCTTGTGGCCTTTGCAGGAAAAGTATGAGCCCTTTGGCTGCTGGTGGCACTGGGTTGGGGTCTCTACTCCTTCGGTCCCCTGCCTTCTCCGGGGGTACAACTAGATTCCAGAGAGGAACTGGTCCAGGGGCTCCTGCCTGGGGCTTGATTTACATTCTTTCCTCCTGAGTGGGGAGCCCCTTTGGGACCTGGGTTTCCTACAGTTCTGGCAAGTGCAGGTTTGTCTTTCTGAGAGTCTGAAGGTGCTAAGGGACAGAGGCAGGAACATTCCCGGGGCACCCTCTTGTTGTAACAGTCTCCCTGCTGCCCTTGGGGGATATGGGGCTCTCCCCACAGGGGGTCTGAGGGCTCCTCAGAATGACCCAGGATCCCCACCTCCTGCCTCCCGATCTACCAGCACAGCTTAGGGATCAGAGATGGCATGCTTACCTGAGACAAAGGAACAGAGAGGGAGAGATGAGAGAGACGGGGGAAGGAAGGAAGGAAAGGGGAGACGGAGAGAGAGACAGATGGGAAGAGATGAGATGGGGCAGGAGAGCAGGGAGACAGAATGGGCAACAGGTCTGGGAAGAATCTAACTGCCGGGGAGGCGTGGGGTGAGGGCAGCTGCGGTGGCAAAGGACAGCGTGGCATGGCGGTGGCATGTGGCCAGGAGCCAGATTACACAAGTTCAGACCCGTAGCTCCTCTGCGTGGCAGCTGCCCGGCCTTCAGCAGCCCACTTCACTCCCACTTACAG